GAGGCCTCTCTCATCCTTTGGGGGAAAAGAGGATTTAATACTGCTGGGATTCAAAAGAAGCCAAATGATGCCTGGAGGCTGGGAAGATCTAGCCGGGGAGGAACTGGCTCCCCCTCAAACCGAAGCAGAGCCCTCCCCAATCAGGTCTCCTGTCATCTCATATCTCCCCCAAGCCAGGTACGGCTGCCTGGAGTTGGGGGAGAGAAGGAGGGCCAGGCTGGAAGCACTGAGGAAGACGGACTCCTAGTAATCAGGCAACACCCCCCCCACCTTCGGCCTCCACATACGAAGAGGACTCCCCAAGGCTAAGCTCCAGGTTTCTCCTGCCGCTTCCAAGCAGAGAAGTGTTCCTCCCTGTGTGGAGGCCGAAGGGGGGGATTGAGCCCAGAAAGGCTGGAGATCTCACCTGCACAAACATCCTGGTTATTAGGAGCCCATTTTCATTGGTGCTCTTTTGGTCTGGGCATTTGGTCTTTTCCCCCACAACCCATGCCAAAGGAAAGCCAGCTAGGCTTCTCCTTCCCTACTACCCTTCCCTCTGCTCCCTTCTCCCCACTCAATCCTACTTCAGGACAGAGAAGAGAGCTCTGGAAATGTGTGTTGGCATTTCCAACATGCATTTCTCTGGTGTACGCCTGCAATTCTTAGCGTTCCTCCAGGCCTGGCTTGCAGCCCAGACATCTCTGCTGCCCCCTTCCCCATGAAGAGAAAGCAAGCATAGCGCTCGCTGTGGCAAAAGAGAGGAGATTGGAAGGCACAGGCAACAGGAAGCAGCTCTTTTCAAAGGCGACAACTTCTGTCTTCTCTTGCCTGTGCCTAGCTCGACCTCAGCTCTTTCGCCCCAGCTGTTTCTGTTCACTTTCCCTGTGCTTTCCCCAGGCAGCGATGGCTGGGGCTGTGGGAGGGGGAAGCAGAGCAGAGTGCCAACAGGGACAAGAAAACTTATGCTGCCTGATTCCGGACCTCTGAACTTGATGGCACAGACTTGCTCACTCTGCCCCCTCTCACCACCAGCAGCCAGTACTTTTCCTGCCCTGGGCCGTCCCTACAGCCTGCAGCCATTGAGGAAAAGCCCAGGCCAGGAGAGGCAAGCTGGAAGGTGTGGGAGTACCACGCAAATGCAAGTAGTGCAGCGCTCCTACACCTTCTGGCCTTCTCCATCGCTGCTTCAGCCCGCTTGTGCTACCCTCTTTCTGCAACAGCATCATTACCTCATCCTGGCCGGTGAGGGCTGCGGCTGCTTTTTGCAGGTTTCCACTCGGCCAAAAGGTGGGGGTCAGCGGGTGGGTGGGCCATGTGGGCAGCGCAGCCTGGATTAATTGCTTTGAGGGGGACATTTCTCTGTGACCCACCAAAATTTCCTCACGGCCCACCAGTTGACGACCACTGCTCTGGAGGACAAGGATTTGGCACTCTCCCTGGTCTTGCCTTCCTCCACTGAAGACAATAGATCCTCCAGCCCCACCGAGACCACCAAAGGCACCCCCGATTTAAATGACGTTGAGCTGGCCACATCCACTCTTGCCATACCCCCCTGAAGTCAAACACAACCCTGAACTGCGCTCAATGAAATCGAGTTTGACACTCTGATCCAAAACAACCATTTTAAGAATAAATTCTCTTAGAGATAAAGCAGCACATGCATTTCTAGAAACATCATTTTTTAAATAATATGAACTCAGTGGAGATATATTACTTGCATTATGTAGAATATTATGAAAAACATGAGTAGCAATATTACTGGAAAACAAAAAAGGATAGGAGACAGTAACAAATTGAAAAGGGAAAAATATTTTGTTTGTCAACAGATCTCACTGTCAATATTTAATATACACAATACAAAAAAGACATACTTTTAAACAAAAATTGAAACTAAAAAATCTTTATAGAAAAATAAAGTACAATAAGTACTATCTGTAATATACTTATTTACAAATACCAAGTTTACTACAACTTTCCCACTCTCAAACACATGAAAAAAGCAGGTTCATTACCTTATATTGCCTCCTATAAAAAAGCAAAGTGATTTACAAAATATAAAATGCAAAATAGTAACAATGCATTTAAATGATATTTTAAAAAGAAGAATGGGGGAAGGGAAGAAAAACAGTAAATAAAACTCCATTATTCAAACTCCTATAGAATTTCAGGAGAGAGAGAATTCCAGAATGTTAGCCTATAAGCAATTACAGGATGACATTTTGTAATTCTATCCACAGGCAATAGGATCTATCCAGATGAACTCAGAGATAAACTATGTAACAGTCAATTTGAGCAGTTTAAGGCCTTATTCACTATAAGTAAAACCTTGGTTATGGACTTGCATCAAGCATCTGCATCCTGATAGCTATAGCAGCATCCTAAAAAGGACCAGAGCTTGAATGTGCAGTCTTACAATACTTTCCATTTAGCTTCGTCTACTGCACTGAAAACTTTGATGTAATCAGGAATGCTACACAACCACAATACCCAGAGGTTACAAATGGGACATGGAGAATTTTAACAGAGATGAGGCCTACTACAGGAAACTAATACAGAGACTAGCTTTTTGGAAGCAGGAACTATCCTTACTACAAGATCAAGACGGCCCTCAGAAATATTATCTAGTTTAAATCAAGATTTTATACATGCAACCGAAATTGACAATAATCAGGTTTTAAAGCTAACTGAAAATAGATGAAACACTCCTCTTGCAACTGGGATTATTTTTTGCCAAATCTTAAATTCAGCTGCAAAAACAAAATAAACTGTCTTTGGACAAAATGAAATTTAAGAAAAGAACAGTAAGAGACTGGATAGCAAGAACAATATATTTCTCAGTCAAAAAGGTAACAAATATTTTTTTAAATACAATGTATATAAGGGAAAAAACAGCACCATATCTACATAAATATGGATTGATACCTTATTTCAATATCAATGTTTACCATATAATTTGGAGGAAATATATAGAATCAAATGACAAACAACCATTTTAAAAATATGTACCTATTACATTTAAATCTATTCATTTTATCAATAGATTTCTGCATTAGCCACCATATATATTGAAAATATCACATATCGCATATATTACTGACTTTAATTTGGAAAATAACTGTTTTACAGTGAATATGTATTTCTGCTCTGTAATCATGCACGTGTAGAAAGTGTAATCACCCTGAATATAGATATCTATAAACAGCGCATTAAGAAGGAAAGCCCCGTTTTCAGAAATTTTGCATATATATTTATATACAGTGTATATGATTATGAAATTCCAAGATATGGCTCACATAAAATTAATATAGCTTTAGTGCTGATAACATTTACATAGAAGTAAGCTCCACTGAACCTAACCTTGGGCTAACTTCCAAGTAAACTTATATAGGATTTGGCTCTAAGACAATCCAGTCCAAAATAAGAATGAGCCAATGCACCTAAAATAGCACTGAAACTCAGACCACATGAAGTAATTACAACAGATATACAGATAATACAAAAATAACTTTATATTATATGCAGAAATTGTCAAGCAATTATGTCCAAAAAATGTTAAAAGAAATATGCAGTTTTGCACTGACCTTTAGATAGGTAATTTAATGTCAACAATTACACAGAGAAGACAAAGTTCATATTTGTATACCAGCGTGGATCCTTAGCTTATTTCAAAATAAGTTATAATTTAGATTAAAATATTTCAAATAAAAATGCATATTTTAAAAGTACATTTAATAAACTATGCAACATAGCACAAATTACAATATCCCTGTTTAAAAGTATCTAGAATATTTGAATCTGGCATTCTTAACTAAGATCAGATTATACTTATACACAAACATAGATTATTGTGTATGTGTAGAAAATCACTTAGCAATGTAGAAAAACTTTGCTATACATTACATACATACAAACTTTACATACGCTGTTTTGAGTTATTAACAGGCTGCAAAGCCACTCTCTAAAGAAAGGGTAATGCAAAATTTTGACAAATGGATTATGGTAATGCCTGTCCTTGAGTTCTACCCTTGAATCTCAAACAAGATTTTGAAATAGAATTTAAGACAACCCAAAACATTTACTTCTAGAGAACTATAGAAATAACACTGATTGCAGTACTGATATATATGTCACTCCATATAGAATCCTATTTTATGTAAGTTTTAGTGCAGCTCATTTCTGCACTGAACAGCCAGGATGGTATACATGCAAATCAGCAGCTTTAACTGGGAAATTTTTTGTATACTTTCTCTATAAACAAAGCACATAGAAACATTTTGTTTTTACTTTATATGATACCCCTGCTATTGTCTCATTTCTAACACTGTCAATCTCCTGAATGATATGGTGTCACCTTCAAGAAAGCATTTTATATTTTTGTCTTACCAATGTCATTAATCCCTCATGTTCATGACTTGCTGTTCATCAGTCAGCAAGAGGAAAAACAGGTGCATCTAATTGCCCCTATGATCAGCAAAAAACTATTTAATCTATAATCTGTGTAAGGTGAATTGATTTCATACTTTCCTGGGGTGGCATATCTTCCCATCCAATTTGAGAGTGTAACAACTTATTTGCCAAGAATCTTTTACAGAGATAGACTTTATATAAATTAAGAAACATATTAACAAAATTTGTTATTGGAATTTTGACATCTTTCCTGGTCTGCATAGCTGCAATTACTACCAATCAGCAGTCACACTGCTTAGAACGCGAAGTAGTCATGATCACCTCACTTGCACAGGTCCTTCTGTATCCCCAGTAACATTTACCTTCAGTTCCATCAACTAATTTGTCAAGAACCTTTTACAGAGATAATGTTTCTTAATTTATATAAACAAAACTTGTTATTCGGACTGTGACGTCTTTCCTGGCCTGTATAGCTGCGGTTTCTGCCTATCAGCAATCAAACTGTTTATGACACTGAGTGACCAGGACAACCTGACTTATACAGGGTCATTTTGTATCCCCAGCAAGTTATCTTCTCTGAGTCAATAAAAGCTAAAAATATACTGTCTTACCTTGATAATGCTGGCTTTCTTGGGAATACCAGATTTGCCTTCTGGGTGCAGATTGGAACATCCTCTCTCTATGGCAGGGCTGCCTGGTTGAGGAGAATCTATGTGTTCTTGGTTTCCTAGAGCACAATCTCCATTGGAGACCCCATTGCGAGCACTGTCCAAGTGGATTCTTGCAATACCACTGCCCCCTCCTCCTCCTCCTTCCCCATCACCTGCTTTAAAAGCCACCTTTCCATGTGCCAAATTTGGGGAGGAGGTTATTCTCCCCCCACTAGTGTCTCCTCCTCTGTTACCAAATTCCGCCATCTGATTCTAAAGAAGCAATACAAGTATTGTGATTTTCCTGCTTTGCTTTTTCTTCTCCACCTCCTGCAGGCTCAGTAATGATGATTGCGCTTCTCCTTCCGCTTTTTTTTTCTCCCCGACACAAAAGATCTGAAAAGACCAGTGGCCAAACGCTCCCCTCTCCTTTTGTAGTTTAAATTGCAAAGTGCTGGAGACACCTCTGAGATCTACATAAACCTGGGGAAAGCAAGAAAAAGGAGAATATAGCAGGTTAATCTGCTCTTAAAAGAGGCTCCAGAAATATTCATAACTTAAAATATTAAGCACGACATGCACGAAAGATGAGGAAGGAGGAAGCGATGAAATTTTACAATCAAACGCTTTAGCAGCACACAAAGGTTAAGACTACAAGCCCTTCCCACTACAACAAAGACGGTTTCTCCAAAGGAAGGGAAATGTAGAAAAACAATCGCAATTCTTTCCCCCCCAAAAAATCTAGAGGCGCCCGTGTGCGATGTACGAGGCGCAGCAGTCTTGCCCAAAGGTAAACGCTGCTACTAGCAGTTCGCGTTTGCAAGTTCAAGGCAAAGGGAATTAGTATTTCCTGCACCGTCTGCAGTGGAATAGTCAAAGGAATATATTAAGGTAGCAAACGGTAAGCATCGCCGTTTCCCTCCCAACCATCAGCAAGCATACCGCACGGCTACCGTTCCCTGGTTTTCAGTTCCCCCATCTCTGTTCCAATACACTGAGGAAAGAGCCAAGCCTTGTCCCTTTATACCCGCTGACAATCCACACCCGCCGCGTGTTAGCCTTGAAATACAATTCCCGCCCTTCTCATTATCTAGGCGTCCGGGGAGCAAAGGGCGCGAAGGAAACAACGTACGGACCTCCATCCAGAAAGAGAGCTCGGTCGACCGCGCCAAAGGAGTGGACAGATCCACCTCTGAGATTCAACGCGGACAAACATCTCTTCCGACAGCAGTAACGGAGCCTGCAAGACCTGGTACAGATCCTTCTTCCGGCAACAGGGCGCCCACGTGCACAATTTGCCTGCGTTACTCTGAGCCTGCACTTCCCCACGTCCTCCGCTTTCGGCCCGCTGCCCCTGGCAATTCTTCTAAATCCCGATCCCGCAACATACCCCTCCCCCAGCACCATCTAATGCTACCCTTTAGGCTACTTCTCACATTTACTACCGCCCAATTCTTTCTCACCCGCCCAAAATAACACACCTCCACAAGGTAAGGGAAGTCACTACTGCTGGCTTCGCTGCTCTTCCTCTGGCCTCAATAGCAGCAGCAGCAATCGCGGCTTCCTCTCCCTTCCCGCCTCTGCCTGAAGCCGGATACGCGCAGTGATAGATTCTCGGAGTCGCCGACTTGCTAGGAACTAGCGTGTGAAGAGCGAGACACCCTTCGGCAAGGCAAGGCAAACTGGGGTCCACCCACGCAACAACAGCAGCAGCAGCAGCCTCGGCTTCTGGCTCTTGCACCGCGGTGGGCCTAACCCAATTGTCAATCATTCGAAGGAGCGCTACTCAGATTGGGCAATCACCCAGGACCCCTTTCGGCAGGCCAAACACACTACGGTGGAATGGACGGAGGGAAAAGCCCAAGTCCCGGACCGACGCTACTCTAAAGGAGAAAAAGGCCACTTTATCACAACCCTGCCCTCCCTTCGGTTATTAATTAAACAAACATCAGAATTAATACTGGCTTGTTTTTAAGCATCGGGTGCCCTTTCCTCAGTCATTCCCTTACCGTATTTGCTTAAATTTATTTCTTAAGCTGCATTTTTTCATAGATGCGCTTGTCTGTGAAGAGCATGCCAGTGAAGAGCATGACTTTGAGAAACATGCTTTCACAAAGGCATGTTTGACAGCTTTTCATTTTCCATCTGTGTTGGAAGTAAAACCTAACCTGACTAAATTGTGCCCTCTGTTAAAAAATGATGCCCTCCACATTAATGATGGTCAGAAATATTAGTTTTCCATGCTAAGCAATATCGTTGTCTTCAGTTGTGAAAATACCCCATGTCTATCAATGATTCATCAGACCAGCTGGATTGGATTAGAGCAGTCATATTCCTATATAATCAATTCTGACCATAAATCGCTACCGAAGTGTAAATCAAACTGAAATGAATGCATTGCATAGTATATGCTCAAGGATATGCAGATGACATTTCCAAAAAGTAAGAAAGATGGGAACTAAAGGTGCCACCCAAAAAACATGCAAAGGAATATCTCTTGCAAATGTTTTCCAACAAACCAGCCAGATCATGACACTCCAAAGCATTCCAATGTACAATCAATTAGGAAAATGACACCTACAAATGCTGTATGCTTGTATTTCATACATTTAAATATGTAATAAATTAGTAAGACTTATATGTTTGCAGTATTTCACATGCTATACATATGTCAGTCATCAAAATTCATACCAAAAAAGCCCCTTTTTAGAGGGAGTGTAGCTTAGTGGTAGAGCTCATGTTTTCGTATGCTAAATTAACTCTGGCATTTCCAAATAAAGGTAATAAAATGTAAATTCCAAAAGTCTAATAGGAATCGACAATACTGGACTAAGTGGATCAACAACATTACTCAATATAAAGCTACTTTTGGTTTTCAGTAGGGAAAACTGCTCTCTGCTTGTTAGACGGCCATATAACTATACAAAACATATTTCTTAGAGATTTTCTTCCATTTCAGTACCATAGTCTTCAAATTATAACAGTTTGCTTAGTGACCATTCAAAGTTATAATTGTACTTAAAAAAGTGACTTACGATCATTTTTCACAGTTAACATCTTTCCAGTATCCCCATCAGGGGTGGGATTCTACTGGTTCTGTCCACCTCCGGTAGCTCTGAAGAGCAGCAAACAGAGAGCATACATAGAACCGGTTCTATATCTGCTGCTGTTTTGGCCCACATGCCAGGGATCTTACCTGACCTTTATTTTCTGCTTTTTCAACCGAAGCTGCTTTGCGCGACACAGCTGCGGTTGAAAAAGCAAGAAAAGGGTGCTTTTTCAACTGCTGCGCACCCGTGCGCAGCACTGCTCAGCTGTCCAGGCAGCTAGCTGGTGAAGTATTAGAGCACGCGCAGCAAAACATAAAATCACCGAACGAGTAGTTACACCGGTCGGATCCCACCCCTGATCCCCATGATCACGTGATCAAAATTCAGATGCTTGGCAACTGGCCCGTATTTATGACTGTTGCTAAGTCTCAAGATCATGTGATCACCATTTCAAACCATTGCCTTACAAGCAAAATCAATGAGGAACTAACTTATCAACTGCAGTGATTCACTTAACAACTGAGGCAAGAAAAGTAATAAAATGGGGCAAAATTCACTTAACAAATGTTTCACTTAATAACACATTTTGGGCTCAGTTGTAGTCAGAAGGACTATCTGTAATCTTTTTTTACCCAAACTAACCATTTACACCAAAAGTAAACAGAAGTCTATAAACAGCAACCAATCTTTTAAAACAGCATAAATAAAAAATAGGTAAACAGGGATTGCAAAAGAGATTAAATTATCTGAGAAAGTGATGAGAACTTATCATATATAGCAAATAGTGGAAGAAAATATGTTCCAAAAATGCTTTGGAAAAAGAAGCAATTATTTGGAGTGACAAAAGGAGGCACGTTGCCTGAAATGAAATAGGAGATTGTACTGAGAACAAATTTCTCTATTCACATCAACTCTTTTTCTGGAGAAAATGTGTCCTGCAAACTAAGAAACTCCTTTCTCCCAGGAGTAAAAGACAATACGTAATAAAATCTGTAAAAAAGCAAAAGAGGAATACCATTTATAGTCTGCAAGATTTTAAAGTCTGCAAGACTTTTCCTTCAGATTTTCTCCTATACTGAAGTTCTGTTTTTTTCCTTGAAAACTGGTAGACTTAAAGCAGGGGTCCCCAACCGCCGGTCCGTGGACCGGTACCGGGCCGCGGAACAAGC